AATCCACATCCTCTAATATATATTCAAAATGTATCAGGTATACAATAATAAATAATTAAATTGGTGAAGATAAAGAAAGAAAGCATAAATTACTAGTATCAAGAATGAGAGTGGCTGTCACTGCTGACCCTAAAGACAATAAGAATATAATAAGGAAATATTATGAACAAGTATATAAAAATAAATTTAATATCTTAGAGGAAATGGATAATGTCCCTTTAAAGAAAAACTTACTAAGATTACCATAAGATATGAAAAATCTGTGGATAAATTTCTTAATTTTTTTCCAATATTGTTGCAAAAAGATAGAGAAAATCAGAATTTCGCTATATCTACCTAGTAAATAAGTTGAACTCATCTTCAAAATTGTCCCACAAATAAAGCTCACATCAAGATGACTTCACTGGTAAATTCTATCAAACATTTAAGGAAGAAGTAATAGTTTTACAAAGCTGTTTCATAAAACAGAAGAGAGAACATATTTCAAATCTTTAATGAGTACAGAATTACCCAAATACAAAAAGCTGCCAAAAATATTATAAGAAATGAAAATGATAGTTGAAAACCTCTCATGAATAAAAAACAAGCAATGAATAAAAATTATAATCTATTATATTTTTGTGCAAGTGAAGTTTACAGTTGGATGGTTTTTTAAAATAATTGTAATTCAGCATATTAACAAAATAAAGGAGAAAATATTTGATCATATCAAAACATGATCATCTAAATAGGTAAATAAAAAACATTCAATAAAAGTAAACTGCCATTTATGGTTAAAAACAAAACTCTTCAAACTAGAGAATGAAATTTTCTCAGCGTGATAAAGGATATCTGCTATCATTTGAATGTTTTGTTTTTGTCTCCTCCAAAACTCATGCTGAAACTTGGCGCCCAATGTAACATCATTGGGAGGTGGGGCCTAATGAGAGATGTTTAGGTCAAAGGGCTCTGCTCTCATGACTGGATTAATGTCACTATGAAAAGGGCTCTAGGGAGTAGGTTCACTGTCTTCTCCTCCTTTGTTACGTAAGAAACAATGTTATTTCCCTCTGGAAGATGCAACATTTAAGGCACCATTTTGGGAATGAAGACCAGGCTCTTTCCATTACCCAAACCTGCCAGTGCTTTAATCATGGACATCCCAGCGTCCAGAACTGAGAGAAAACAAATTTCTGTTCTTTATAAATCAACCAATCTGTGGTATTCTGTTATAGCAGCACAAAACTAAGACAGTATCTTTGAAAACTCTATGGCTAATATAAAACAAAAAGGTAAGAACAAAGCAAGGATTTCCTTTCTGCACACTTCCAGTCAACATTTTACTGAACATCCTAGGAAATCAAACAAGACAAGGGAAATAAAAAAGTACTTTGGTTTTCATGGGTAGGCTTTCTCAGAACAAAGGACTGGGATGGACTTGATGTTCAGGTAGCAAGTTTTTTAACAATATATATGAATATTTATTTTTAATCCATTTATTTTATTTTTATTTTTGTTTTTAATTTTATTTTTAATTCATTTCCTTTTATTTTTTAATTGTTTATATATTTATTTAAATTTAATTTTTAAATTTATTCTTATTTAAATTTATTTTTTCAATTGAAAAATAGATATAGATATAGATACAGATATATCTCCTTGTCCTGTCAGCTAAGAGAGCCTAGAAGCAATGATACCCCAGTAGCAAAAAGCACACATTATGCCTAGAACTTGGTTTCTAAAATCATTTTCCAGTAAAAGGAATCAGGACTCCTTTGAAAAATGGCTGATTCTAGGACTGGAGCAGGGAATATATGAAGTAAACCTGGAACAGCCTGTGGTACCAGAAAGTTAGGAAATACACAAAAACAACAATGACAGTAACAATCACAACACACAGTAAAGAGGAAATGTCAAAGGACACAGAAGCCAAATGAGAGAGCTCTCAATGACTAAAGCTACAATAATTTGAGCATAAATATAAAATGAATATCATGAATCCATGTTGATGTAAATAAATAATGATTGAATGAATGAATGAGGGAGAAGATACAAATCACCCAGGCAGAAAAATTTCAAATAATTTATGTGGATGCTCTGCCCTCATGGAAGTCGGACATAACGCCCCACTTCTTAAGTGCGGACTCCACAAACTGATTTTCTTCCAAAAGTACAGTATGGGAAGGGGCAAAAGAAGATTAATTTTACAGTGAAAAAACCTGACAAACACTACTTCAGCCGGGGAATCTAGGTTAACATCAACAGTGGTAAGTCATGTTGATGGCATGTACATTTGACATGATGTGATGAACATGACACTTAACCTCTCTGGTCTTCTTCCCACCAAAACCATATAACAGTCTAATCGTGATAATAATAAAAAAAAATCAGAAAGATGTCATTTGAGGAACATTTACATGATACCTCACTAGTGTTCTTCAGAACTGTCAAGATCATCAAAAACAAGGAAAGTCTGAGAAACTGTAACAGATAAGAGGAGCCTAAGGAGACGTGATGTCTAAATGTAATGATATCCTTGATGGGATGCTGAAACAGAAAAAGGACATTAGGTAAAAACTAAGGAAACCTGAATGAAGCATGGACTTTAGTTAATAATAATATATCTATATTGGTTCATTAATTGTAACAAAGTTACCATACTTGTGTTAAATATTAATAATAGGGGAAACTGGATGCAGGGTATATGGGAACTCTTTGTACTACCTACTCAATTTTTCTGTAAACCTAAAACTGTACTGAAAATATTTCTTTTAATTGGAATGCACAAAGCCATAGACATGAAATTTTAAGTAGTTCCATATGCCTGGAGGGTGTAGAATGTGAAAGAGAGTGAAAGGAAATGAAGTTAGAAGAGTAATCATGGTTTTATTTCATTCCTCATTGATTCTAAATGCCATGCTAAGGAATCTGGACTTGAACATCTATAGGAATTAACTAGTAAATGACCTCACAGAAACAAAAATAAGTAAGATTGTAATATTTTACCTTGAGCAGGCCTTCACAAGAAACTCGTACTCTGATGCTGTCTTTCTACTTGTAAAATTCTTTAGCGCACTGGAAGGGTATGAACTGACAAAGATAGATAACTGTGAAGATGAAGGAATCAGGATCTAGGATCTATTCATATTCAACACCTAGTTTTTGTTGCTGTTGTTTTACTTTGCTTTGTTATGTCTTGTTTGTTTTTTGTTGTTAACAGTGTTCCAGACAAACTACTAAGCTTTTAAGATATATATGTGCGCTTAGAGTTTACACTCTAGATATTATTACTTTTCATAGCCTTTGTCTAGTAATTATTATAACTATTTGGCATTTAATTGAGTGTCTATTGTGCAATAGACTCATTTTAATCTTCATACACATGAATGCCTTCATACACATTTTAATCTTATTTTAACAATTTTCTGAGTATTATTTATAAATTTTAGACAATGAAAATCAAGCTCAGAAAAGTTAACCTGTTCAAACTTAAAATGTAGGAGTTAAGACAAATCTAAAAAAGAGAATCAAAAAGTGAGTAAAGAATATTTCTCTGCAAGCACATCCTGATGTATTCCCAGCCTTAACTGTGTAGATAAATGATGTCTTAGCCACTTTTGCACACATTCTGCACAGAGACTGAACCAAAGACTATAGGCAAATTTGGCCATTATTTTAACTTTACATATTAAAGTTGTGAAGAAATTTTTATTTTCAAAATTCTCATTAGGGAGAGCCCTGTATTTAAAGTTTTTTCGTTTGTGTTTTTGGTTTTTTGTTTGTTTTTGTTTAAGTAATGTCTCTTTTGCCTTTTGCCTTGAGGATGAGAACACAATCCAGGCTCCAGTAATAAAAATGATGAGTGAACTTACCTTGTAAGCAAAGTAGATTATTTTTACCGAAGGACAAAATTTTGTTTACAACCATGATGAGTTTACCAATGCATGTTTAGAAGAAGACTCTCCATATCGTACAAGTGGGAAAACCAGCCAAATGAACACTGTGTAGAAGAATTTTAGGTAAAGGACTCTTGCTGTCAGTGGCTATACCCATCAAGAGAGCACTTCTGAGAGCTAACAGGACTTTGGGGGATGTTTACATACTTTGCTGAGGGATACACAATCTAAAGGTCATTCCCTGTTTCCCATGCTACATCTTCAGTAAATCATACGTGGCTCAGAATTGATCGCGTGAGAATGGCTTTGTAGGGGGGCTTGAAAGGTGCTGAGATCTGATGCAGGTGAATTTAGCATGAACACACAAACAACATATATTGATGCAGGAGCGCTTAAACAGATGGAATCCCTGATTACAATCAAAGATAATCCTGTCCCAAGACTTATCCTGAGCAGAGGAGGAAATATCAAGGAACAGTTCACAGAGCTGGTATGTTTGATATAAAATATTCTGTATTATAAATCAGTTTGCAGGCCGACCCTGTGGCGCACTCGGGAGAGTGCGGTGCTGGGAGCACAGTGGCGCTCCCGCCATGGGTTCAGATCCTATATAGGGATGGCCGGTGCACTCACTGGCTGAGCGAGAAAGCCAAAGGGCACCCCAACAGTGGTACTTACAACATAGGTCTTTGCTGTGACCCACAGCCACTTAAAGACACGTGCTATTCAGCTATAGAGCTGGACCCTGCTGCGTGCAGGCATGTCTTCATGATGTGGATTTCCATGTAAGTGGCATGTGACTGCACATAACTACATATGATAAGATGCACGGGGCCCGAAGAGGGAAGCCACAGGCACAGCCCCACAACTGCCCAGTCCTTCAGGCCTCGAGCATGTGTCCCTCTTTGAAAAGCAGCGAGTTCTGGTAAAAAATACCATCTGGGTGAAGCACACCACATGGCCTCTCCTGGTTTCCTGCTCACTCCTAAGAAAACCCAGCAAAGGGCAGAAGCTCACACTGTGGCCATAGCATGGGTGTGAAAGGTGGAAGGGTTGTCTGCTCCTGCTGTGTCCCCTCCAGGCAGGTGGGGATCTTGGACTCTGTCATGGCCCTGGTTCCGAAACATGACGTTGGTGCCAACGAGCAGCGGGCATCGTCCTGCACTGTCTGCTTCTGACCCTGAGGCTGCTTCAGTGTTGTGACTTCCCCTGTCATTGTCCAAGCAGTGAGGGGGAAAATAACAAAAGTCCTACAAAGGAACAAGAAAAATGCATAAAGAAACAGAAAGTATAATTCTGGGATGGAGAATGAAAAAATGAGCCTGTGACAGAATATTAATATCTGGGTGTTTTTCAGTTGTCAGCGCCATAAGAGTCACCAAATTTGAGGGTTAATGTGTCAATTAATACATCACACACGCACACTGCATTCATAGCACTGAGCTAAATGGCTTGGGTTGGATTTGGAAGGTTATGGAAGTCAGGTTGCAGGCTGGAGGGGATTTAGGGCAAAGATCACATCTGTTTAGTTTATCTATACCCAGTGCCTTGCACATGACAGGGAACCAGTACATACTTGTGCAGTAAATAGATGGATTTATTAAATAAATGGATGATTTTGGAACAGCAGGTGTTCCATCCTGGGCAAAGATCTGAAGGTTGGAATGAGCAGGTCATGTAGGGGCCAAACTCCACCCAAGAGAAACTGTATGAGGAAGCCCTGTATGATAGCAATAGGGCTGGTTAACATAGGGTCTTTTTTGCTAGACTTGGGAATTCATATTTGATTTTACAAGTTCTACAGGAGCCACTGTGTGGTCATAAGAAGAGAATGCCAAGAGTAATGAGTGACTCAGGTCTGGCAGTGGTCTGGGGGGAAGAGAGTACTGAGGGTAGGGGAACCAGGAAGTAAGTGCCTCTTTGCAGTATTTCAAGCACACCGATTTTCTGAATCCCCAGTAAGATACCTTCCCCCCATATTTGAGTGTGTTTAAGATGGCTTTTCTTTTTAAATGTATGCACTAGATTCTGCTTCGTGAAGGCTGCAAGAAGATTCTCGTAGCTGACTCTTTGTCCTTACTGAAGAAGATGCACCGAACTCAAATGAAAGGTGTTCTGGTTGATGGTGGGTAAAATTGACGTCACTGTAAGGACCCATGGGCCCTGCTTTCAGAAGGGGCAGAGCAGATAGAAACAGTGTATAATCTGAAGTGTGTGTTTTCTTACAGAGGAGAATATCTGTGAATCGTGCCTTTCCCCTATTCTTCCATCAGGTAAGATGATTGGGAGGGGCGAAAAATTTCCCAAATATGTATTAATGATGGGTGTAATTAAAATTTTTTAAATTAGTAATTACTGTTTTTAAATGATATAACTTTTGGAACAGTCCAGTTTGGGGAAGAATTTCAGTCCACATCCCTACTCAGTGCCATTCTTCAGAGCTGGGCTCTCATCTGGCAGGTGCATTGAAACCCAGAGTGCTGGCCCCAACCCCAGTGTCTCTGAATCCGTAGTCCCAGTGCAGGGCCCGAGATTATGCATTTGTAACAAGTTCCAGGTGATGTTGATGCTGCTGGTTCAGGGGCCATTCTTGGAGAATCACTGCTAGAGTAAAACAAAACCAAATGAAAACTCAGCATCAGCATGTTGAATTCCAATTTCCCTTTTCTTCACTCTTTTTCTCTGCTGTGTGGTTCTAGGCACCCAAGTCATTGCACACCTAAATGGAAACATGGCAATCGTCATCAATTTAGAACTGTGACTCTTTAAAAGAAAGACATAAGCATTTGTTTATAGTTTTTGGTAGATATATATATCTTCATGTATGATGAAAAGCACCTTCCCGAAGGATCATTATGATATGAGGAGGAAATTCACATAATTTGAAAGTAGGAATTAGCAAGGATGGTTGTCAAGATGCTAAAAAATGCTTTTTTAATACAAACTCAGCATAGAGAAGTACCAAAAGATGTAATTGTCCTCTTTGAGAATTAAGGGATTAATTAATAGGGCAGTAGCAAGAGAAGTTGTTCCATTTAGGTTCTTTTGTAGAGAAAATAGATTTGTATTCCTCAGTGCTTCTATTAAAACCTGCAGCAGGCTCAGGAAAAGAAGGGAGATTTCACATTGTTTTAGGAAGTATTTCAACAGAAAGAGATTACATGCAGCCCCTCTATACAGGAAGATTAAATTGCCAATTTTATCTGCTGAGGGCGCTAAATCTCACCAGAAATAAGCTGGCCACACAGAGCAGTAGCTGATGAGGGACGTGCCAAGCAGGAGTGCAGTGGAATGCGGGCTCGCAGGCTGGGATTTTAACCCGGGTCTGCCTCTGAAGTCATGAGAGCTCTTGGCAAAGGTGGTAGGTGAGCTGGGTAGGCATTTTCATAAAGCCACAAACGTGACTTCAGGATGTGGTGTATAACGATTGGGGGTGGGGGCGGTTGGGACACACACAGGCACATTCACATGCTGATTCCAGTTCCTAATGTAAGTGCTGTTGCATTTGCTGTGAAATTGCTCCCGATTTGTAGTTTTCGTAACTGACACAGGCCAAGCAAGTACCCTGTGAATCACATAGCACCACGATTGTAATACTTGCTTTGCATTTGAGCAGCCACCCCTTGGGAGGGCTTTTGTTCGTGAGCTGTCTTCCAAGGCAGCCTGTTGCTGTAAAATAAGCTACAGCTGGACTTTCTGTCAAGACTGGCTTAGAAAGTTCTGGTCTGCTCGTTGCATTGAGCTCTCCTTTGTTTTGCCCCCACCCGTCCCCCTGCTCCAGATGCAGCTAAGCCCTTCAGCATGGTGGTCTTCCACTGCCGGCACATGTTCCACAAGGAGTGCCTGCCTGTGCCCAGCATGGTGAGTTGGCAGCTTCGGGGCCATCGACTAAGGAGAAATGGATGCGATCGTAGGAATGTAGTCAAAACTATAACCCATCATCCTTATGGCTTTATGGGTTTTTAAAAATTATAACGTAGTTTCATATCACATAAGGAAAATTATTCTATCTCCTTTTCAAATGTAGAAAGGTTTAGTGTACAATAGTAAGCACTATAAAAGCATTCCCATTTAATTGGGTACCTTCAGGTGGCATTGGTGACGTAGAGCTACGGAGACGTGTGACACAGTAGAGACCATTTTGTGTTTGTGTGTCATGATGCTGTCACCCTTCAGTGACGAGTCCTGTTCCCAGGTCACGTTGGGCTTGTTCTGACAGCTGGTTCAGACTGACTCCTGGGTGGACCAGAAGTAATCTTCAGGGAAAGGAGCGACATCTCGTTGCTTCCTCTCCTCCCCCACCCCTGACTAATGCTGCCATAATGTTTCTGAATGACTGTAGAAAAAGAAGATCATTTTTTAAAGTCTGTGTATTTAAACTGCATTTTTAGAACTCTCCCGCACAGTTCTGCAACATCTGCAGCGCTAAGAACCGTGGGCCAGGAAGTGCGATTTTGGAAATGAAGAAATAGCTGCGTTCCACTACCAGCCTCTCCCTGCCCGCTCTTCTCAAGACTGGTTTTGCACCAGCAGAAGCGTTAGTTGACACCAGTGCTGTTAAGAGATCACTCATGTTTATGTTATGCTTAAAAACAGCTTCTTCATCTATGCCTTGCTCCTAGAGGCTTCTCTTTGCAGTCGATAAAGAAGTTGGGGCGTTCCTCATGGCTTGAAGCATTTGGTTTCATAGTCAATAATTCGTCATTTATTTGCTTGGCCCATTCTTTATTTAGTAATGGAAACATAAGCCTAGGAGTGAGAAATTTATATTTTAGACCTTAGTGAAAGCATTCAACCATGAAGTGGACCACTGAGAATTGTCCCAGCTGTGTGTGAATGTCACTGGTTGCAGTTGTCTGGCGGGCTGCTGTCCACCACTGGGACCTGTTTCTGTGTGTTCTGTATGTTCTACTGGTGACAGTTCTTGTGCTCTGGGTTTGGTTTTCTTTACATCATCAACTGTGGTTTTCTTCTTAATAGGCATTTAATGAAGTATTGCGCAAATTGTCACTCATTCAGTGACATCTGGGAATAACATTAGCAGGCTGATGTCCTGCAGCTTTTTGTTTACAAATCACGTGTTCTCTGCGTCCCAGTGACTGGCAGAGTGTTTGGCCCTGGAAGCACGTGGTGTTTGTTGATTGAATAAATGTAGCTCTGTCATCATGAAAGACTCGCTTTTACTGGGTTGTACAACTGCGGTCATGAATTCTGGCACGCTTACAAGGAGAAGAAGAGAGTTCTAGTGCCTTGGAGTTGAGGGACTTTGGCGAGGTGTTGCTAGCAGGGAGGAAAGAAGTGACCCTGTCAAATCTGACAGGGATTCTCAGGAGAAATGGGATGTCTGAGGCTGAAGGATGTGCATAAGCATGTTTCCTTTGTCCCTGCGGAGCCGCCTCTGCCCTCGTAGAACAGAGCACATAGTGGAGGCAGATGGTTCAGACTTGTGACTGTGCCATAGTGTCGGCTTCCTCTGTCTTGGGATGGATCCCATCCTCTGTGGGGCATAAAAGTAGGAAAAACACATCCTCGTTGTCCCTGCTCTTTTGGTCACATAAACAGGAACGAGTGCAGCTTTCTGCTTCGGTCTTTTTCGGGGGAGGACGGGATGCTAATGAGAGCTGAGTGCATGCTGACCGCCACCCCTGGCCCAGCCGTTCCCAAGAGCGACATCAGCTGTCCCAGCACCCCAGGAAGAAGGTGGGACACCCTCAGTTTACAGACGAAGAGACCAAAATGCGGAGACGTCGTCAAGGTCACAGAGGTGACTGCCTTACTTCAGGGCTCCCGGTCCCCTCAAAAAATCCTAGAGCCAAGTTCAGAGGAAATGCCAAGTACCTCTCTTAGCTTTGGGGTTGAAAAGAACATGCTCTAGCAGACAACGGATTTTTTGTTAGCCAGAAATATTTAGAAGTGGAAGGTTCTTCGTTGTTACTGAATACACCCCTCAACCTTCTCAGCGTTTCCTTATTTTAAGACTAGAGTCTTTCTGTTTTGTTTTGCTAGTTTTCAGTTTTTGTTTTTGTCTTTGTCTATCTCGGAGAAACCTTCCCCTCATAAAAAATCTTACAAGTAAGCCCAATTTTTTGTTTTTGACATTATCAACTTAATGTAAAGATTCAGCTTATTAAGTTTATGTATCGTTTCCTCCTTATGACTTGAGTAACTGCAGAAAAATTCAATTGTAAAACCATCGATAGGATTTACTAATTTCAGTACATCATTTTGCTTCAGAGGCAAATTGTACCTATTTGAGTACATCTGAGTATCATATTTGATTACTCATTTAAGTGTCATTTGAACATAAAGTCTGAGGTACAGAAAAGGATTAATTAAGCATTCTTCATTTTTAAATAACTGATTTAAGAAGAAATTAATAAGATATATTCATTCATCATTTCAGAAATAACTCTAACACTTGGAAAATTCCTGAACAATAATCTGAGGTACAGAAAAGGATTAATTAAGCATTCTTCATTTTTAAATAACTGATTTAAGAAGAAATTATTAAGATATATTCATTCATCATTTCAGAAATAACTCTAACACTTGGAAAATTCCTGAACAATACAGATTTATTATTGATAAAGAACGTACTCTTTCTCCTTGGGATGCCTTTTCTTTTGAATAAATCATACTGGATGGTTCTACTGAAGGTCATCCAATCATTTTTTCTTTTCATTAATCTATAAAGGTTTAAATATGGCAAAATAATCAAAATGTTAGTCAATTTTTTTT